ACTGTTGAAGCAAAGTGGCCCAGCAGCAGAGTTGTATGGAACTTGTAGATGTTTGTTAGTCGCTTTAACGGTCTGAATGCATTCAGAAACCAAATGATCCTTATCAACATCCCCTCGTGGTCACCACACACAATGGTACAGCGGGTGCCCGGAACCTCTTCTAACGATTTAAGCTTCCCACGCGGGCGGATAATGTGTGACAAAATCTTCTGCAGTTATACTCATGCAGGTTTGGCACATGTCTGCGGGAACTTAACAGTATTGAGCAAGGCATCCTTACTACGTAGACCCTCCTGAAACCACCTTCCTGTCACAGCTTTGTAGCTAAAAACGAGGATGTCTCAACCCTAAACCCTAAACCCTAAGCCTTAACTGCCATTGAGCTATTTGCGGCCTTGCCCGTAGAAATGGGGGGGTGTCCTTCTCAGGGTCAGCGCTAGGGGTGTCTTCAAAAACCCTTGCAGGTGGCAAAGATGCTCCTACCCTAAACCCTAAACCCTAAACCTAAACCCTAAACCCTTAACCCTAAACCCTAAACCCACCAGCCAAGAGGCATTGGGAAACCTCTCTCCATGTCCGCAGACCTTGGCAGGGGCAGAGGGTTGAAATTTAAAAGGATCTGCTATGGCCTTGTTTTTTTCCGGGTACCATATAGTCCCCCTTAAGTAGATAGAATGCCGGGTATATGGGGGTATGATTATAGTACATCCAAAGTCATCTTGTATCTGCTTGAAAGGAGGCATATAATGCCCAGCATGAATGGATTTTATTGCTGACTACTCGGGCTACTACGATATTGTTGACACTCAAGGCGGTCCGGTAGCAGTGTCTGCTGTGTACAACCCACGCCTTCGTCACAGCCTTCTACAATATGCAATGTTATTGGTGTGACTTCGGGAACGACCGACAACCCTAAGCCTGAAGCCGTAAACTGCAAACATTAGAGCTGCCCCCCAGCAAGAAGGACTCGTGCTGCACGTCTGAGTATGTCTAAAGCCACAGCAGGAAGGTCAGCCTTAATATTGTGGCCATCTACCATTGCACTCCATTCCTGCTTTGGTCCTGGCATGTTAAAAAAAAAACGGCTTGGTAGACTTTGTGCATGTGATGAGTGCGAACTGGGACGAGTACATTTGACAGACTACACGAAGGCTCTTGGAGCCCCGAATGGAATCCGACACCTCAACTTCCAAAGGCCAAACCTTCCCAAGACAGGCCCGGAATGGCATTAGGTCAGGACTCAACTTAGGGTTTAGGGGTTTAGGGTTTAGGGTTTAGGGTTTAGGTAGCATTGAATAAGCTGCACAAACAGGGAGTCTGGACCTGAAACCCTACACTCTAAACCTCTAAATCCTAAACTCTAAACTCATGTCGGCATCGTTGAAATACCCTGAAAGGTTCAAGGCATGGACACGCAGGCATGAATTTGGGTTTTAGCTTTTAGGGGAGATAATCATGGTTTTCCTTACTACGCTCCTTATACTACCCCTAGGTTCTCCCTCATTGGCCGCAATGAAAACTAATTATCCCTCCATAACCTTGTTTAAAGGGGAACCTAATTAGGGAGGATAGTATTATAGAGGGCGTAGTCAGGAAACCCCTGAAAATTATGCCGGCAAACAAAGAATCATCGTTTTTGAGAGACCCTAATCCCAAACCCATGCCCTACACCCTTAGCCTTATTCGTGAGGTCAACGGATTTCTCGGGGTAGCGCTACAATACCAAGCCTGAAAAGGAACTACATAGGGCCCCGGAGTTTGTCCCAAACCCGAAGGGGTGCCTGCAAACTGACCCCTTCAGGTCTTGACCTTCCAGCCTCCTAGGCACGCTATCGCAAAAACCCCGGACAACTGAAAACCAAGCGCCCCCACCCGGGCTATCACACTTGACAGGTTGGGTTTCGACGAGAAATTAAGGTCTACCAATGAGCTCTGTAAATAAGGTGCACTATAAGCACTGCTGTCACCCTAGAGGCCCTACCTGAACTCCCAAATTATGTAGAATAATGGCCTTATGGGCTATATTTAGGGGTTTTGGGCTATTATTTTACCTACTTTTGGGGTCTAGATAGAGCATTTCCCGTTTTCCAACAAAAGCTGGCAACTCTGCAGATTTTTGCACCTCGATGCAATCAGTCATTGGCAGTGCAGTCGCAGAGACAATTCGGCGGGCAGGAGAAGGCATTGCAATTCACAGTGGCTTGGGCCTCTTTGGGTTGTGCTCTCAGCACAAATGAGATCCATACTTCAAGTCGCTCAGCCGTACTTCATGTTGCCGATCACATCATGTGAAAAGCCGGAGAAAGGAAAACACTGCTGAAACGATACGTGCCTCCTTGCACAACAACCCACAGGGAAATCGAATCCAAAACAGACCAACATGAGCCAAAGCACAACCCACATTGGTTTGAGAACTCACTGCTTTGGGGTGCCGGGACGGCCGCCAACCACCACATTCGCTTAAACTAACATAGAACTCCTGCGGCAAAGACTATATGAAGAGGTCTAATGGGTGTCCTTTTCTTGTTGGGGGGGTTGGGGGAGGGGCTACTACCCCTTCGCAAGCTACATGCTCGAAGAGGTGAATGGTAGGTTCTCTATATAGGAATGTAGGAGTCCATTTGTGGCATGCGGCATACTGCAAAGAAAGAACACTGACAACGAAACAAGCATTTGCTAAGTGAAGGTCCTTGAACCAAAGGTTTTCTCGTCTAAGGACACCCCTCAAAACTAGTTATTACTCTTATTATTGTTATTATTATTGTTATTGTTATTACTATTATTATTGTTATTATTATTGTTATTGTTATTACTATGTTTTTGTTATTATTATTGATACAGGTCCTTTCTGAAGCCGTGCTTCTGCTTTGATTAGGGAATACAGCTCAATGAAAGCTTCAGGGTTTAGGGCAGGGCTCAGGGTTAACCCTAAGAATATACAAACAATGCCAACATTGGGCCCCAAAGTCTGCTACATTGGGTTATTTGGATCCCTAACCCTAAGGGTCCAAGTACCTAATAATCATATACTTACCCAAAACCTATACTATAAATACTATTCCCCAAAACCCAAGTACCTAAATATTGGGTACACGGACCCTTAGGGTAAGGTAATGACTAGAGCAAAGCTTTTCAGCTTGAAAGCTTCTCGGGATGCGCGGACCGTGAGCGAATCTCCATATCCTTCCCTAGAAAGGCCCAACTGGAAACTACTCATCTTAGGAAGCCATGAACTTGGGTTTAGGGTTTAGGGTTTAAGGTTTAGGGTTTAGGGTATAGCCATGAACCCTAAAGCCTGACTTATCTAGTAGTCTTCCATGTCGGTTTCCAGTCCTCTCTATACACCTCTATAACTTAACCTCACTATGACCATGATGAAAAACAACTACTCCTGTATTTTCCTTATACCCCTAGAAATCGCAAAGGGCCGGTAGATCAGCTACCATATCCCTAACCACTCACCCTCAACCCTAAACCCCAAACCCTTGACCCAAACCCTAAACCCTAAAAACTATTGCAATTTCTATTCCATTATCCCATTATATCCCCTATACATAATCCTCATATACTGCCTAAACCGGATGAAGGAATGTAAACGGCGGTAGCGGCTGGATTGGCATCTGTGCACGACGATGCTGGCCATCTCCCGTTGGGTTTACAGTTCTTCATTCAACTGGCTTGGGGGGGGATTCTCCCGTGGGGTTTACGGTTCTTCATTAAATTGGCTTGGGGGGGGTTCTCAAAATAGGGGCGACCTCGGCACCATATATATATATATACACACATATATACATATACTTGTATTATTATAGTGTATATACATATATATTTGTACGTATTGTATATATACATGTAGAGGATCACAAGTAGATCATTGGGGTGCTTCTTTGGGACTCGCAGGATCCACTTATCCAAACAGCAGGGCTTCAGGTTCCAAATGCTGTAACCTGAATGGTTTCTGGTACCTAGAGCCCTCAAACTTGGTATCTGGATCCTCAGGGCTTCAATGCAGTTACGGGATGTTGGATAAGAGACCTTCCATCAGCATTTAAGGGAACCTTCAAACAAAGGCAGGTGGGGGAAGGTGGTTACATTCTCAAACCCTACAGGGAGGTAGGCATTTGAAAGTTCAAGCTAGAAGCTTCCGTGCAGAAAAAGGTGGCCCCAAGCCCGGGAAGTGCATTTCCATAACCATCTTTGTATAACGATCAAATGCGAGTGTCCAAAAACAAGTTCCCCAGTATAGGCCCCAAGAAGCCGTTCTCCTGGAAGTATGGCCTCCCAAGCGCCATGTTTTGAAAATCCCATATGAAGGGAGCTGATGGGAATCCCCAAAGGACCCCAGAAACACAGGGCTCACGAGTGGGTAACCTACATTTGAGACAAATTCTTACTGGGGCTTAATAAGGAATCGGGAAATCTAATCCCTATACAATCCCTGCATAGGTTGTTTTCCTTATTCCCTCCAAACCCTCAGTAAGGTTTGGGACCATCTTCTGCACAAAACCAACCATTTGGGGTAAGGCCACGTGAGGTCGTTATGAATTGCCGAAGAGTCTAGTGGACTTCTCTTAGTTTCGCGCGGTTAGTGGGTACTAAGGGAATATATTATATGGGGGTATATTCCCTTCTCCCCTACTAACCACCAGTAAGCTTAGTTTCAAGCTTGCATCTTGCGACTTGAAGTTCTAATAGTCTCGAATCTCGAATCTGAAGCTGTAAAAAATGCCTTCAGCAACCTTTCATATCGGTCTATAGGCTCTTACCAATGGCATCCATGGATGTCATTTGCTCTTCCTTGTTCTGACGAACTTCTCTTCCTGCTTGGTTTCCAGACTTGCTGCGGCCACAAAACATCTCTTCATCACCGGAGCCAACACCTACGAACACTACCCGAGCTTCTGGCCACTGTCACCCTTCATTCGAACCTGTCACTACATGTGTGGTGTCCTGGGAGTATCCCAGTCAGGCATCCGATGCCACATATCCTTGACGTCCAGTCAGGCCTCCGCAATGGATTTGCTGGTGAATGCTTTCGGGTTTAAAGATTAAGGCAAACCCTTTGTTATGTAGTTGGTCGTTTTCTAAGCTCTGTTAGAACCTAAAGTGCCGCAAAAGAAGCGCATATCAACCGCTTGGCAGAGCCATGAACCAAACAAGTCGTCACCTCAACAGCAACAAGTAACTCCACATGAACCATAGTCTAACTTGCTATTATCCCGCTTAAGAACCCCTACACTAGTCAATAGTCCCTATATAACCCTCTATATAACCCCCTCTAAGGAGTATAGACCATATATAACACGCATGCAAAGCTTACTGGTTGCTTGTAGGGACCGAAGGAATGGAAAAGCTTTGGTATTCATTCGAGTCTTAGTCGGATGAGGGAAAGGGGGCTAGTCGCCAAGCCAACTGCATGCTAAGAAGCGACATAGCCGTCCGATTTGGGTCGCAGGCGCGTTGTAAACCTTGAGCAGGTTTAGATTCACTGGGCTAGCAGACGGTTGTGGATATTTAGGTTCAGGGCTTGGGGCTTTAGAGCAAGATGAAGGAAGGGCTGGTTGTGTCTTAAGGTGCTCAAGTTTTCGGGGTTTAGGGCAGAAGGGGTTCCGGGGGGTCAGGGCTTGTGAAGCAAAATCTTCTCCCTGACGCACCAAAGGAAGAAACCTTTAACAGTCGGGCTGAAAAGCCACTACCCGACCCGCACAGACCCTGGAATGCCAGCCTGACAGTATTTATTTGTACTGTTAATTGCTCCGAGGGGTCAAATCACGCACATCAGAGAGACCAGCGCTGTACACACTCAGCTGATAAACTCTTGCTCTATCAGGGCTCAGACACCATGGTAGATTAAAGAGGAAGAGGTCATGTCTTGATCAGGGGTCTACAGTACTTTGAGGTTCATGAACGGTTGTAGCCTTGGAACTAGTCACGAATACCCCCCCAGGCGGATACTAACGATCCGGCATGACCCTAGCACAAAAAACACAATAATCTGGGTCGCTGTTAAGGAACCTCAACTAACTTACCAGAATAAGGATTTAGAGTAAATAGCAGGCATCCCTGATTAGGATAGCTTAATTTAAGCTCCTTAACATTAAGCCACTAATCCCCTAAGTGCTAGGTAATTCGAGCCATGCAAGATCTAAAGTATCCACCGAAGTACCTGAGGGTTTAGGTTTAAGCAAGGTGCTTTTGCAGCCAGGGCAGCGCAGTCTGTACTTCTTCAGACTTCTCCTTGGCAACGATTTCCGAATTAGGTGCTTTCAGTTTATGAGTTGTGAACCTACCCTAAACCCTAAACTGCAGGCTTGTGGGCTTAAGGTTGGTTACAAAACCACGCCTTTAGCATTCCCGGACGAATTTAATGGGAATTGCTCTAGAAACCTGAACCCAACTCGCAGGTTCATGGGTAGTCTTCAGAAAGCTACCCTGGGTTTAGGGTTTAGGGCCCTGCTCCCAAACCCAATTATAAGCCCTGATAAGCCTTATACCCAATGGCTAAACGCACATGTGAAGTATAGAGCATTTCTTACCCAGCCACCGACAGCCGGTGCTGCGCTGTTTGCAAGAAGGCCTCTACCTGGGCATGGTTTTGCATCTGAGGCTTATGTGTAGGTAAGTGTAGGGTCTAAGGTTTTAGGGTTTACCAGGACCATCCAACTACTGTTAAGCACCCTTAAGCACGGTCTGTGTAGGGGTAGATGACTGCCATCTAGTCTACCAATGTCACTCTGTGAGGAGCACATGCGGTCTCATTCGTGTTTGACTCATTGAGACAGTTCAGCTTTCTGCACAATCTGTCCGTCTCTGTTCGTAAGCGTTGAAGGGTCCTGTACGGCATATAGGGCACATGTAGAGGATGACAATAAAAATTGGAAGAGGGAATGGCCTTACCAATGAAAACGTGATTTTGATATCTTTTGGGGCCCAAATAATATAATATCACTGGCATTTGGGCCCTAAAACCCTATTATTTGGGTCCTGGTAGAGTACACTCTTCGTCCTGTTGTCCAAGAAACATACAAGATCTTCTCTGCGGAGGCAAATACCCCCCAAAGTACGAAGAACTCCTTACATTAACTCAAGTCTATACCTAAACACCTAAAAACAGCCTAAAAGGCAATTATCTTACATACTTTTGGGGTCTAGGTAGTCCTGGAAGTACGGCAAGGACGGGTTGTAATGGTTTGTGTACTTTCTGCATTGTAGGGCTTGTGCTTCGTGGCGTGCTTCTGTCAAGAGAAATAAAGCAGCAACCAACCATGGTTTCGGGATTGGTGGTCCGTTCAATCATAAGATCCTATACCTCCCCCCCTGCTTCGAGCAACTCTATGTTCTGGAAAGAAGTAGAAGTACCATCAGGTACGGCATGATGCGATTTCTCGAGTGTACTTGAAGGTACAGTGGAATACCCAGGACTCCTATTCCTATAGTTCCTTTCAAGGTTGCGCCATATAATCCTCTAGCAAAAAAAAATTCCCCAAAAAGGAACTACCCTAAGCCCAAAAGCCCGTCCATGCCTAGGGGTTCACTGGCTACCCAGCTTGTATGGTCGGAGACCTACTGGGCTTCAATGCCAACCTTTCGAAAGGCATGGGTGGCATGGGTAGGTACTTGAAGGCTTGGGAACAGAATAGGGTTTGTTCAGGGTTTAAGACTTCGGATTTAAGGGGTTTATAAGACCCCTGATTCCCGAACTAGGGTTGGCCTGCTTATGACCCCTTTTTACAACTGAGGCACTACGTCCCCTGAGACACTAGCAATTTTTTAGCCTCAAGTATATTCATGGACGTCAGCCTTTTCCCTTCCCCAAAGCATGGAACGTGAAAGGAGCAGGCCCCTTGCAGACTACAATCTGTGCAAGAAGCATTCCCGAAGAGCGCGCCGCCAACTTGTTTCAACCCCTTGGGGAGGCCGCCGCCAGCCTGCACAGAGCGTTCCCTTTTGTATATAGGGGTGTATAAGGGTATATAAGGACAATGCAAAAGAAAATGGAAAGTACTATCATATAATAGGGGTATAGAATAAGGGTATATATGGGGGAATACAGGGGTAAATGGGGATAATGGAAAGAAAATGGAAACTACTAGAATGGGTGCTCTCCGATGAAATTCCTTTTTGGGTTTGGTTTGTTTTTTTGGTTGGAACTCTGATTAGGACTCCAGAAACAGGCAATATATTGGGGGACGCTAAGGGGATGGATTCCGGGGTTCGGGATGTGAGCTAAAGTCTAAACTCCCAACATCCCCCTTAAGTAGCCCTATAATGTTCCCTTGTATATTCCCCTATACAACCCACTTTCAGGAGTTTAGACTATAGCTCATGTGGATTTAAGGCCTGGAGTTCAGGCAGTCCTCTGCCCTCCTGTTTTGAGATCCTAGGGATGAAGACACCCACCATTGTTTGATATAGGGGGGGTTTAGGGTTTAGGGTTTAGGGGGTTATATAGGGATAATGGACAATAAAATGGGAACTACTATTTGGGGTTTAGGGTCTTGCAGAGTAGAGGCTTCTCAACATAGAGTAGCCTCTGTGGTACCTCAGGAGTCTTTGTAAGGTAATTGCAAGGGCCCCTCTGCATTATTACATCTGCGTTGCTTTGAGATGCTCTCATCTAAGCAACATTCTAGTTGACATTCTGTACAGCCCTTGACCTTCGTCTACCTAAAGGGTCCATGTAGCTATATGGTATATACTTAGCCCTTCTAGTAGGTATATGGGAACCCCTTTGGGCCCTAAGTATATACCATATACCTACATGGACCCTTTGGGCTACCTAAGGCCTGAAGGGGAGTTTCTCATGGTGAGGGAAGAAGGGTATTGCGTGAGAAATCGCTGATGGGAGGGGGAGATTGTAGGGTAGGGTTTAGGGTTTAAGGTGTTTTCAGGATTCCGTGTGGATTTCACGCGCCTTAGTTTGTCTTTGGCGCTCGGTGTACTCGTTGAGTTCCTCCAATCTCCTCATGAGAAAAGGCGGGGGTAGGCTGCAGGGTTTAGGGTTTGCAAGGGGGGGGTTACAGCTACGGTTTAGGGGCTTAGCATTTAGGAGGTGGGCCTATTGGTTTAGGATTTAGCGATGTAATGTAGGCTTTGTGCGTTAGGGTTTGGTGTCCAGGTTTTCGGGGTTCTAGATCCCTCAAACAAAGACACACTCTTTTGAGGACCCTGAACCCCAAACCTCTGCTTAAACAACAGAAGCTGTACACTGCTGCTGGAGAGCACCATGCTGTCTTAAACACTGGAGACGTCATCGTACTAAATCCCACCCGAGACCCAAGGCTTGGCAACAAAAATGGGGCTGATCACATATATTTATTCGTGGTCAGTATGAAGTGATGGATTGCAAAACAGCCCTCTTATTGGGAATTTAGATCCATTCCCCCTTTCCCTGCTAACCATCAGCAAGTATACCAGTCCCTAAGAGTCCAAGTACCCAATAATAATATACTTACCCAAAATCTGTACTATACGTACTTTTACCCAAATCCCAAGTAGCTGTCTATTGGGACCCTATACCCTAAACCCTATATATCCCTTTAAAGGGACCGAATTATTGGGTACACGGACCCTCAGACAGTGCTTCGGGCAGCTGTTGGTCCCTTTTTGGCCTCCTGGGGTTCTTGAAAAGTTGTGGAAGGGGAGGGACTGCGGTTTAGGGTTTAGGGTTTAGGGTTTAGGGTCAGGAGAATGTACGACAAAGGAAGGATACACATATACGTACAGAAGACTCCATAAGAAAGTCTAGCACATATACCTATATCTACATATATATATATATACATAAACCCTAAACCCTAAACCCATATACACATATACACATACACGCGCATAAGCTCAACAACTGTTAATGCAACACCCCTTCCCCGGCCTTGGACTGCCCTCACCATGTAAGATTACCATATAGGACTCCTACATAGTCTATAACATGAGCCATGTCTAAACTCCTAACAGTTTAGGGTTTAGGGTGTGGGCCATAAACTCCTCGTATCCCCATTAAGAACCCCTTTAATAGTCCCCTACATAATCCCCTTTGAGGAGTTTAGACCCTATAGCTCATATAGAAGACTCCTACGGACTCCTACGCGGGAAAAAGATGATTACAATTGCAACCTAAGGATCTACCAGAGCCCTGTTCTTCAGTACAATCCCCCCAAAAGGCCTACATTTTCTTCTAATAGAGACCAGTTCATCAAACCCAGATAACATATAGTTCTCCCCTTCGGGACGTAAAAGATACCACATGACTACAGTTGCAAACGAAGGGACTATTAGGGAACTGCAGACCCTGGTCTACCTAGACCCTCCATCTACCCACTATATACCCTGAATACCCACTGTTAGGGACCATATACCCCTATTTGAGGGTACAAGGAGGGTCCTGGTATACAGAAAACTTGCAGGTGAGCCACTCTGACATCAGCTTATGCACATTAGCCTGCGGCTTAGGGCTTGGGGTTTGCATGGGTTTACATTGTTCAGGGCTTTTAACAGGGTTTAGGATTTGCGTGTGGGATTGGGCCGCATTGGCACGTGCGGCTTGGGGGCTAGAGTGCGGGATTTGGCCTGAAGAGATTAGGATGTTAGGATTTATACCTTGCAAGTCTGGATTGTGGTTCTCCCGGTTGACACTGCATTGCCTGCGGGAACACAGTGGCAGGGTCATCGGAAAAATGGTGTCCAAAGTATGAAGGAAGATTCTGAAGGAATTTTCTTGTCATGAAACAAAGAAAGCAACACGTGAATCTTTCTCCTGCCCAACAGCTACTCCGCACGACCGCAAACCGTTTACGTAGTGCTTCTATAAGTCCCAAACCCTAAGCCCCGGACCTAAAAATTTGAGATCCTGAACATCAGGTCAAGAGCCCTGAACGGCATACACCCTTAAACCCAAAACCCTCGAATAGTCAGTCTGGCCCCAAAGATCCTTTGACTTCAAGATTCAGCCATTTCAGCCCTGGGAGTCTAGGGTTTGGGGTTATAAGACATACGCAGACCCATGATTAATAAACCCCCCTCCTTTTAAGGCCCAAATATCAGGATCCCCATTATAATCCCTATTAAGGGGAGGGGTTTATTAATCACAGGTCTGGGTTACGCATGACTCAACCCTAAACCCTAAACCCTAAACCTGGGGGAAAATGGGTCCTGGGGATGCTGGTGACACGCCAGTTGCCAGTTGCTTTTGCCCATATATTGATGTGCATATGTGTGGTTGTCCAAATTAGGGGTTATATAGGGATAGTGGCAAAGAAAATGGAGTCTACTATAATGGGTTATACAGGGGTTATATAGGGTTTAATATAGGGTTACATGGGTGGTTGTCAAAATTATGGTCCCCTTTTTGGGTACCCTGAATATTAGGTGCCGTATTATAATAGGGATCCAAAAAGGGACCATAATTTTGACATCTGTGGGACCTAATGAGAACTAACCCTACTACATGTCAGAAACCGATCAGCATTCACACGCTGAATCCTACATCCTACACACTCAACCCTCATCCTACCTTTGGCTTTGCGCAAGAGTCTAGGCTTTGGGATACACTAAACCCGAATCCCTAAACCCTAAAACCCTGGAACCCTAACACCCTAGACACTAAAACAGTAAACCCTAAAACCCTAGACACTAAAACACTAAACCCTAAAACCCTAGGCCTTAAACCTTTAATCCTAAAACCCTAAAACCCTAAACCCTGCAAGCCTTGTAGAGCTCTGGATCTGCCTTTTCCTCCTCACTGGGGGTGTACGGCTTGCAGATGAGCACCTGCCGCTCTCATCGCATGAAATTCTTGCGTTGTTCTCAAAATTATGGACATTTTTGGGCTATAGGTTATATTACTGCGCCTAATATTTACGGGTACCAAAATGGGACCGACATTTTGGGAACTACCCTCTTAGAAAGAAGCTAGGTATGTTTGTTACGAAACACCAGGGGCCACTAGCTGATGAGGCAGCCACTGGAGCTTTACCGCTCGTCCCATTAAACTTACCCAAAGGGTCCATGTAGTTGTATGGTATATACTTAGGGCCCAAAGGGGTTCCCATATACCTACTTTAAGGGCTAAGTATA